CAAGTAGTCGATGTCAGTGGCGCTCGTGCCGTCAGTTTCCAGGTTGTCTGATTTGAGCGCCTGGAGGTGTAGGCACCTCATAGTGATTGACATAGGCCAGCACCAGGTCCCCTCTCTTACCCACCCTTTTTCTCTTCCTTTCACTCTGGGGCTTGAAATATATTTTTTAGGAGGACCATACGTTCTGAAAACAACAGGCATTTATCGGCTAGTGATAGTGCGTCACGCAGGTTGAAGTAAGGCCTCAGTTCGTCTTTTTGGCAGGTACGCGGCCACGGATTGCGATGGTACTTTATGACTTGCTGCAGCACAGGGTCTTGGTCGGTAGCCTGGCGGACCATGTCGGCAATCACTGGGAGGGCGCGAACCGCTTCAGATGCTACACGGTTAACCTCTGGTTCCAAGGCAATTGTTGCGACCACGGTATCTTCTGGTTCTTGTCTGCTTGAATCAATGAGTCGGGACAGTGCGTCGGCTTGTCCCAGGCTGGTGGTGGTGGCAGAGTATGCGTTGGCCATACCTCTGCATTACATCGAGACCTAGCCTAGTTGTGCCCACCCCATACCATACCAGGACTCAGAGGCACAACTATGCCAGTTAGCTACGGGTGGTGTGCCAACCCAGTTATTGTGCTAGATATCTGTTTTCGATGTTCACTGTTCTTAGCAGTACTGTGTCAGTAGTAACCATGGTGGAAGTATCTAGCGAGGATGATAATAGTTCATCTGTAGCATCTTTCGATGCGTAGCTTCTGAGCATGATGGCTGAGATACTACCGGTTTACTCAATCCAAGATAGGTGAGATAGTAAGGTTAAAGTTGGGTTCGAAGTCTGGACCTTCCGCTTGGTTGCTTCGCATCTTATCAGTGAGCTTTCTCCCCGACCTAAAGCTGCCACCTTGACGTGGTGGTCGGGCTTCAGTGCTGCAACGATCCTGCGGGCTACACTGGCTGGAACTTCGTTCCACAAGGTGCAACCATGCCAGGAAGGCCAAAGGGGAGCAGCCAGACCAAGAGCAGCGAGACCCCGTACTACGAGTAATCGTGCTACGAGGCGGTCTGGAGGTAAAGTCGTACTGTCCTCTGCGACAGGAGTGTAAAGG